GGTATTGGAATTTTCCTGACGATTGTTTCCTGGAGGTAGAGGACAGATTGGAGGAGGTGTAGAACGCCCGACTATCGCTGCTGGGATTTTTTTTTCCCCGTGGAATTCTGGCCGTGTTGGAAAATGAGAAAAGGTTTGCTTTTTTTCTTCATCGTTTTTTCGTCTTCTCTCACTCTTTAAGGTTAGAAGACACGGAAAAGTCCCAGGTTGGACTGCGATGGGAAAGGTTTGAGCCATACAGAATCACCGCCCCAGCCCCTTCCCGCTTCTCTCAACTCTCACCCTCGAAGCCCCCTTTGCTTTAAGTCTCAACCCCCCGGGCAAACTCCCCTTCGTGGGTCGCCAGGCTGTCACGAAAGAGCTCCACAAAAACCACTAGAAGGAAATTAATCTAGAGAGATACGGCCCCTCCAGGCACCTGGCAGATGGACTTTTGATGATTCCGCTTTCTCCGGTTCCCAGTGAATTGAGAGAAAGCGGCTCGTCCTGGGACCTAGTGATTGCCTTGGGCTTAGATTTTCTGGGGACGGGAAACATAGATGTGGGACAGAAAGGACTGTAGGCTGGGGTCGGAGCGTTGGCAGAGCTGGAATCGAAGGCGAGGTAGGAAAGCAAGGAGTGGGAGGGACGCATCGGAGGGGCCGCAGAGGCCGCGTCTGGCTCCCCCAGAGGTACCGCACCAGCTGCTGAACCCGCGGGCTCGGCCAGTCGCCACCGAAACTCCGAAACCCCGGGGCCGTGCTCTGGGTTCCTAGGCTTGGTCCCTAATGCAGCCCTTTTCAACCGTACCGGATTTCCCCTCGGAGTGATAAGGAGTCATCGCCAGTGCTTTGCTGGGAATTTGTGCTTTAGCCTCGCATTCCCGCCACTTTCCTGAATTCTTTGGAAGACAATGGTTTGTGCCCATTTGTTTTACCTAGGGCACAGACTAAAAAACTGGGCAAACTAAAGAAACGAATGCAGATCTTTAGAGGAAAGGTAAAGAAAATTCCGGTCTTGTAGAGCTCTGTGGTTCAGATCCAGGTAGAGGCAATCGCTCCCATTTACTGGGCAGGCGTTGAGTGCTCGGGACTTGTCAACAGCTTCCAAGTTTGGGGGCCCTCTGGCCGCTTCAAATGCTTCATCACCCAGTTTGAATCTATCCTTGAAGCCAGGATAGATTTTCTCAAAGGTTTCGTTGAGTTTCATCCCTCGGAATTGTTGGAAGTGAAGTGTGGATTTAATAAATTGAATTTTAAGGTTTTTGTTTAAAGATTATCCAGATAATCATTCACTTTTTTTTAAGCCAAAAAATTCTATGACGGTAGCCTGAGGACCTTCCTTGCCTGCTTTCTGACCAACGGGCATTTAACTTTTTCGTCTAATTATTAGGTTATGGCAGGTGAGAAAATCCAATTTATCCAAATAATTGATTGAATTAATGTAAACCACATTCTTGTGCTTAAGACATCTGCTCCTGTCTAGAAAGGGGGTTGGCCCTTCAAGGAAGGAAAAGCTCCCCACCAGCACCCTAGAGATTCCCTGCTCTCTCTGTGGGTGCTGCTTCCCATGTCCCCACCCTCCCTCTCCCGACAGAGCTTGTCTTCCAGGGGTCTCTGCAAAAGTTCCCCTTTCTTGAGAGACAGGGTTGAGTAAAGAGCTTGGGAAGGATCTAAAGGGGTAGCAGTGTTGCAGGGGTGTTAGCAATGGGGGACCCTGAAGAAAACAGCTGCAGGGAGAAAGATCAGGTGGCTTCCTCCACCCTGGACAGATGGTCTTCAAACCCGAACCCACACAGGCTTTGTCTACACTCCATGATAGTGGGGAAAACCAAGGTTATCCTGATGCTTTGCAGCAATGGATTGTTTCAGGGTAGACACTGAAAGAATCTTATTAGTGTGATCCGCATTTGTTTGTGAGCGAGGTCTAAAAACAGCAAAGGGAAATGAGAAGCTGAATCTAAGCCTTCTCTCCTCTGCCCATATTCAGGGTTGAGCTGAGGGATTTTAAGCTTCGATTTCTGAAATCATTGTTTAAGTTCTCCGACATCAATCTTCCTTCGTTTTTATTGTTTCCTGGAGGTTTTCTGAGGCAGTGCCTACGTAAGCAAGCTAATTGTGGTGGGGGTAGAGAATTAGAGGACATTACTTTGAAAAAAATAAAACAAATGAAAGTAAAAAAAA